CACAGCAGTAGTAGGCGGGGGTCACGCGCCGAATAGCAACTTTATCATGCACACCGAAGGGGTTGTCAATGATATGAATGCGGCGCATGTTCATCGACGACGCTACCGAACTTTATCGATTTATCCTCGATAATAAAGCGAAACAGGAAAGACGAAGCCGAGTTGACGAGGAGTCATACAGAGTCATATCATGCTCCCCGCTTGATGCTTGCCTATACTTTGCCAATAAGTTGGGAGAACGAACGATCGCCCTGAATTCATTCGATTATGTAAGGTTGAGTGACAGGTGTGACTTTGCATTGTTCGTTTGGGAAAGTGCAAGAAACAAATTGATGCTAGACACATAAAAGAAATTAGTCTCTGCACCTTATGCAGGATGAAGAGTGCGTCGGCAGAACCACGAATGTTCCGAAAGCAAGGTTTGAGCTCGGCAAACAAGCTCAATGCTTTGAAGACCACTGAGGCCGCGATGTATTACTCGATGCCTTCCTTCCTGTAGAGCGTCATCGAGGTATAGAAATATGCGCTCACATTTTGACCGTGCAGCTTTGAAGGTTTAAGCATAAATCCGAATCATCAGGGGCGGCATTTTGACCATCCATTGCGGTGCTACACTGTTCGCGCCCACAAGACCATTTGGCATTACAATGTTTGGTATATTCAAACCGCGAACTTGGTAAGCATAGCCATCACAAGCTCTGGGAAATTCTCTACGGGAACCAACATCATCCTGCCTCGCGTGTCCAACCCAAAGCTCTCATTATCCCTTGGCTCTGTCGGCGTCAACGAGTACTTGTAATCAAGGGCGTGCACAGACGCTGCCGTAATCAACTCGTCCTCAACATGGAAGGGGTACACCCCATCCGCAGGACGAGGCGCATCATCTTCATTCTGAACTGCCGCAGCCTTGCTTTTCTTGTTCTTGCGCGGCTTCTTCTGCGACGACGACAATTGCGCATCCTCGGATTCAGTAAGGTGGTAGGCGCGCGAGATGAAGAGGAGATGGGAGAAGGAAAAGGGCTGGCCCTAAGGGATAGCAGGGTGAGCATCATTGACCGGATAAGCTTGAAGCGGGACGTACATTGCTGACTAGGTTTTGCACCTCCTCTCCCAGGACACGGTACATGGGAGGGATGACTTGAACGGGCATATTGATAAGGCGCTCGGACAAGACAAATCCGACATGCTTGTCCTCTTGCGAGAAGAGTGCTGAGAGGGTATTGTGGAAAGCTGGATCGACTTTGGACTTGTCCAAGCAGTATTCCGCGATACTTTTGATAGCAGGGTTTGCCTGGGTAACATGAGATATGGCGCCGGAAAACAGCAGTATTGCATACTTTGTGGACATGCATATTCAAAATGGTAAGCACCGCGTATGGGTCACTCTCCTGGCCGTCGGTCTTGATCGTCGAGCCAAGGCCACGCTGGTTGATGACAAGTTCCACGAGATCATGCGAACTTATTCTCTCTACGTCTGGTCCGAAAAGTTGCTTAATGAGACGCTTAAGAGTCAAGAAGTCCACATCCGGGTTTATATCGAAGCAGTCGAAATCAACATCAATGAGACTCTACTAAGCGCTTCACATTAGAGAAATTCGCGAGTAACAGTACGAAGGAGAGACTCACGACGTCGGACTCGTCGTCAGAGTCTGCGGGCTTGGTACGTTTAGACATGGGCGCAGGAAGGAAAAATGCTGATGGCGCCGATACTCGATCACGGCCAATCTGGGGGAAATGTTCCCACGGCCAGTGGCGCAACATGCACTTGCAGCCGTGGTTTAGATGGACAAACAAAGTTGCAGCTAGCTCATAAAAGCCTGCCTGGTAACAAAGTAGCATACATAATTTACACGTACACATTCACCTTGCGTGAGCAATTAACCTAGTCATCTAAGCGTGTCATGACATGATCAACGTTCTCCAGGAATCTCGAATCCTGCTAAGCGTAGAACTCCTTGGGCCGAATTTCTGGCATTAACCCTGCCGCGGTCATCTCTTCGTTCATATGGAAGGTCCACATTCCGTGCAATGAACTTGACATTGTCTGATTCCCGAATCCATTTCCCTTCCTGCCTTTGTTTCTCCCAGTATGCCAGAGACTTGCGTCTCAACTCGGGTGAGCGCAAGATGGCACCACGCATATGTGATGCAGCGAATATTTTCTCTCGTAGGCCATGTAAATGGGCAAGTGCCGGATGTGGAGGTGTTGGGATTCGGGGAAGGGCGAATTCGACCACGAGCGGCAGGAGGGCGAACAGTGCTATTCGAGCAAGCTCAAGATTGTCATTCCACTGGAATTTTGTGAGGGGGATAGTTGGGGATGGATGGGAAACGTACCATGGACACCTCACTGTCTCCTTTAATTTCGATGACCACCGTCGCACGAACATACGCCTCTGCACCGGCAGCTCCAAGTAGCACACATAGTGCTGTTGATCTCCAAGCAGATAGATTTGTCCCCTTGCGCGTCAGCCACTGTACAATGTGTTAGCTTGGAGCCGCAGATCCAGCAACCGTCACGCACGCCAACTATTGCCGCCTCGCGAATATACGCCCACAACGCCTTCGGCAAGGCATACATAACAAAGTCCGTGTTGGAGTGACACCAGTCACAATGTGCAAGAACGTCTTCCCCGAATCTGTACTTTGTCGTCAGCCTATGTACGCACCGCAGATACTAGAGCAGACGCACCGTACAAACACCAGTCTCGCCTCCAAACTGCTCAATCTCTTCAACAGGACCTCAATATGCTCCGGCAAGTCCGGCAAGTCCGTCTTGCTCAGCAGAAATGCACGTATCGCGTCTGTTGGTGTGGACAGAGGCATGTGCAGACGCGTGAATATGTTTGGAGGAGGGTGCACCGCGGCATTGTGCAGAAGGAAGATGGCGTATATGCATAGGACCAGACGCGTCCAAGAGCGACGAATTGAAGGGATGAGGTAGAAGAACGGTGCGGTGACCGCAATCGTTACGGCCAGAGATAGTAAGGGCATCTGGTCATGAAAGTCGAATGAAGGTGGTTCCGATCATTCGATCCACCTTCCAATGTCCCTAGCTGCTAGCATGTCGGCATATGTACTGTAGCTTGCTTAGAAGTCATACGAAAACCTGACCAAAACACCCAGACTTCCTTGCAAAATATAGATGACATTGATAACTAAGATATAAGATACAACTAGATAAATCACTTGTTCGCTACTACTCTGTCACCCTCATAGCTCGGGGTCCTCGAGTTCAGCTTTCCCTACAGAGGAGAAAACCAACTTGGGCAGAGGCTCCTCCGGTTCGTCCTCCTCTACAATGGGGGCCGGGAATGAGATCTCTCCCATAGGACTGCTCCCATATTCGTGCTGATGCTCGCGGAAATGGCGAATGCCCTTCTGGGTGGCCGGGGTGGAAGGACCTGCTTGCGATGGGGCGCGCTTTGGTCCAGGCGTAGAAGGCAGCACGAGCTTCGACATGACATTCTGATCCAGAGTCACGTACCGATTGAGTGCTGTTCGGCGCCTCTTTGAGGGAGGAACACTGCGAAGACAATGAGTTACAGCTTGTCACAATGGAAACTACTAACGGTGTTTCCGGTTTGGCCTGAGCGCGCTCCTCATCGTCCGAGTCCCATCCATCGTTCACGCGAGAGCGCTTCAAGATCCTCTCTCCCACAATAGAAGGTGACCGTGCAAGCAGGGGAGGGCCCGCAGGAGGGGGAGAGGAGGGGGGCAACGAGAACTCAAGATCGTTGTCCACTCTTGCCGTGCTGCTCCCCGATTTCGAGACAGGTCCTTCTGGGGCAACGGTCGTAATGTCACTCGGCGCGCCTCGATCTGCTTCCACATCGGAGACCTCTTCAGCATCTTCTTCAGCCTCAAATAAGTCCTTTAGGTCCTGCACCGCAGCAGTCGGTACGAGCTGGGTCTCCACTTCCAACTCGTCCGCCTCTGATTGCAGGAGTTCGACGGGAGCCTCTGGCTTTGTCGCTGTCACATCATCTTTGTCTTCAACATCCGCGCCCGAACGTTTGAGCGCCAAAGGCCGCTTGGGCGTCTCCTCATTCACAGAATTTCGGGGAGACATATCGTTGAAAGCGTTCGAAAAGGGCAATTGGATGTTGACGCTGGTGTTGGGGATGATGGTTATGAATGAAGAGACACTGTCCAGGGTAAAAGCGACCGCGCGATGAACAATAGGACGTGATCGCGTGAGTCACCTGTTCGGCTTCCGCTGCCGGTGTATAAATTCCGACGATCGCGTTTTTTCCATTCCTTCCGGTCCCGACCATTGTCGTCTTTCGAGCGCGTCCATGCAAGTCTGTCAAATTTGGATCATGACCGTGTGAATGGCCCGGATAGGGTTTCTGCCCGTTTGGGAGAGTCCATCCCCGCGGGTGAGCATCACCTGGGGGAACACTTACTGGTGCGGACGAAAGATGGGGTGAAGGCACGAGATATGTCTATACAGCGGTGGTGAGTCCTGACCTATAATCACTCTTTCATTCCCCCGCGGCTATGATGTATGAAATATATTTGCTACTTCAGAGGACCTCGCGTCCAATGAGACAACATTTCCACCAAGATCTCTGAGCCTTCCTCTGCATCGTTGCTCGAAATATGTGACTCATGTTTTTCCATCCAGATTCATTATTGCGTCGATACGAGGTTTAGTGCCCCACCGCTGCGAGTGGCAGTGACTTTCCTCTGCGCCGTGATGCAGAGGACATATTCTAGTCAATTGAACTAGATACAGTAAATACATTTGACCTATCGTTCGCAACCCATTACATCCTCAATATTCCTTGGAGATAGCAGTGTGACAAACAAAGGCTCAGAGAGCGGCTTCATAATCCTGAGCACTGCAGTTATGAGCGTGGCCATTGTCGCATCTCGATTGACTCACGCTGAGTGCTGTAAGAAAGTTTAGCAAGGTAAACTAGCTATTCTAAGTTATGTATCGGCTGGTCAAACCATCGAAAACTATATATGGCTGCTTATAGAGGGTCTCTTCAACGCCAGTGGTGAAACGGTTATCATGCTTGCCTTCCAAGCAAGCGGCGGGGGTTCGACTCCCTCCTGGCGTAGATCTTTTTGTTCACGCTCAGTGCTCGCGCAATGACACGCTAGGGTGGCGGACCTAGGGTGGCGGACCTATGCTCCCCGGGAGGTACAGTACCGGTACCGTACCTATGCCCAATTTAGGGGGGGGTACCGTACCGTACTGTACCGGCACGTGACGGAAACATGTGACCTGCGCCACACCCCGCGTTTTGCTTGTTTTTCAGGCTATTTGCCGGTTTTTTCTGCATCTGCGTGCACATTACACTACCAAGGGTCAGATAGGACACGATTTAACGCTGATGGGCCCCAGAATCGCAGGATTTGACCCCACAATGGCTCTGGACTTAGACACCTTTTGAAGTAGCCTCACAATGGCCCAATGACTTTGAAGTTGCTGCAAAACTCCGTCGATAGCACCCTTCAATTACTTACCAAAGTTACAGCCCTTGGGCACCCCAACAAGGACCATGCCACTCCCCCCAATGTCGTTGGGCGCCCGCCGATCATGCCGCCGCCCGCCCCGCGCCGTGATCCGAAGCCTGCACGTGATATGGTCACGTGAATGCATCATGTGATAGGTACTGTACCTACTACCTACCCTCCCGGCGGGGGGTGTACAGTACATGGTACGGTACGGTACGGTACCGGTACTTATGCTCGGTACCTATGTTCTGGGGGTTAGGTCCGCCACCCTAGGCGGACCTATGCTGAGTACTGTACAGTACGGTACCGTTGTATTGTACCTGCAACAGTACAACTTTGTGTGCGTAGGTCTGCCAACCTCCTTTGGGAATAGCAGAGGCTGAGAGAAGAATACAAGCAAATATCTCGTTGATGTTGCATAAGTATTCATACAATCATACAGTATTTATTTGTAATTGTCATTGTTGTGTATCCTACTAAGGCGTTGCCTAAGCCCCCATAACTATAGCCCAATCGCAAACCTTAAATTCTCCATCGATACCAAGAAACCTCTGTCCTTGGTAGAAGACATTTCCTCCAAGCATATCCACCCACTTCACTCCTTGTTCGTGATGATATCCTCGTCGTCCTCTGTCCAACTTGTAACATCGTGAGAAATACGCCTTCCCCGTCTCGGCTTGATACACCTGCGGCATAGCATAATATGTATCCCAGGAAATGCGCTCGTATAGGCAGCATTGTATTTCACCAATTGTCGTTAAGCGATAGCCTTGGACCTTGTGCCCGCTGAGCGGACTTGTCGATGCAGACTCAATAAAATACCTGTTTGTCATGTTTTCGAAGTTGTGTAGTGGAACGGTGTCGCCTTGGCCTACATCAAGGACGGTGAAATCAATAGCGTTGATTCTGGATGGCCGCGGAAAGAATGTTCTAACAGCTAGCTGTTGAGCCGGTGGGAGAGGAGTCTGCCAGGCTGGAGGAATTTTTTGTGTGAATGTGCCCGTCTTTGGCTTGTAAAACCATGGACCTTGACGATGGGTTTCCGGTTGGGATGAATACCCTCCAAAGGTGAACAGCGAGGTGCTGAGAGCAAGAGATTCCTCAAATCCTGGGTTGAGCGGGGAGAGAATATCGCTACGCTCAGGATTGGGATTGGGATTAATGGTATTTATTTGGTTGACGTTGCGCTGTATTTGCGGCTCGCGGGATGCACGGGAGTCCCACACTTCCTCCTGATATTCTCTGTCGCGACCATCTCGAGGAAATACGGGCACAACAGAAGGGACAGCCTCAGCCTGTGCGGGGCCACCTTCCTGCCCAAACCTTTGTTTGAACCTTGGGAAGCAAGAAAAATCCATCGCAGCTGTGATGCGAACGTAGTAGTCAGTAGGGAGGCAAGCACAAGTGCTGATTAATGATTGCCTTTATCCAAGATCCTTTATATACAGCTGCAAAGTTTGCGGCGGCATGTTGCTAAGAGACGGCAAACGTATTATTGTGACATCTTCAGAGTGTTTTGAGGAGTCGCGATGCAACCAACAGTGATTCATTTAGACAATAGGACCTTACCTACGCTCAAGGGTCTGGGGCATGCGTGAGGCGTTAACCAATACACATTCCAAGTAAATATAGTAGAACAAACTACTCACATTGGGTGTTCGAAAATGCCAGCAAGAACAAATCGGGTAGCCGACAGCAGGGGTGCGTATAAGTAGTTACACGTTGAATAGCTCGTAAATGAGGTAGGCATAAGATGAATGAAATAAAACTGTCCATAGGGTGACCTGCCCCCTTCCCCGTCCATAGCTTACTGTTGTGGCGGAGGCATGTCTGGCACAAGGAAGTGCACAGGCCGCCCGTCAGGCCAGCTCCTTTTCTCCATGAGGGAATGCACATTCTCTACGGAGGAGTTATGCGAGCCGCCAAGCTCTCCGGAGTGACGAGGTGTGCCTTGTAACGGCGACGGCGCGTGGAATTGAGATGACGGTGTCGTTGAAGGAGACATCGAAAGCGTAGGGAGAGATTCCTGGGAAGGCTCGGGGATGTACGATGGTACGGGCTTGCGTTGTGCCTTCCTGTTCGACCCCGTTCGTTTGATGGGCTCTGGGACGGCCACTTGATCAAGATGCTGGGACGACCTCCTCGAGCTGCCTGGACTAGATTGCGGCGGCGTGGTTGCCTCCATTATCGTGGAAGGCCGAGGAGATTCAGGGAAAGTCTGCAACATGGTTGACCGCGGACGGCCGTAGCCTTCAGATGATCCTGATCCTGACGTAGACGACCCATGGCGAGCAAAGTCCGGACGGCTTGGGGAGTATGTAACAGGGATAAAGCCGGTTGTTGGGTGTGCCGTCTTCTCGGCATATGGGTCGAATTGGGGCTGCTCACTCATCATTGGTGCAAGCGAGCCCTGTTGTCGATGTTGCTGAGGCCCTTCACCCGGTCCGAAGAATGCTTCAGGCACGGTATTGTCGAATTGGCCCTTCTTCCCACTGTGAGAGGAATCGAATGATCCGAGGGCACCCCATCTTCCCATGATTCCTCCGCGATGGCGTGGGCGACCTGATCCCGAGGTGATGCGACGGCGACGGCGACGAGAGCACATGAACCAGATGAAGGCGGCAATAATAGCGGCGAGGCCAGCTAGGCCGCCGACTACACCTCCAGCTATGGCGCCTGTGTTGGTCTTGGACGAAGTTGCAGCTCCAATCGCAGTGCTGGATGCAGCGGGCGTGGAGGTGGTGGACGGAGCAGACGATGTTGGGGCACTCGAGGCAGACGCGCTGGAGCTTGTGCCTGCACCCGAGATACACGATGTGTCAGATCCATTATAGATGAAAAAGTTGTCGTAAGCCTGTGCTTGGAAATCGGAGTAGGCGTCCATGGTAGCGTAGAGCGTGTACCATCCCTGGGGAATGTCGACCTTGCTCCATGTATAGTTTCGGCTGTCTGGCTCCACATCGTCCGTGATAAGCTCGACGATGGTTTTGCGGCTGGTCTCGATTCCGCGAAGCCCGGTTGGAATTGCCCGTGCGGAATTGCCGAACGTTTGTGGGCGCGAATAGCTTGAGGACGAGGACGGAGGGTCATCCTGGACGACGCCAACGTTGGTGATGGTAAGGGAGAGGGGGGAATTGGGTCCAGTGTAGCCCCAGTTGAAGGTCGTGGACTCGCAGGTTGTCAGACTCTGGATGCCGCTAAAGATGAGGAATGGGCTGCTCGAGTCGGCGTCGTCATCTGTGAGCATGATGGTCAGAAAAGTGTTGCTAATAATCACAAGCGCGCGCGTGGGCGCAGCCTCCATCGGTCATGGAGCGCCTAGCATCGCTTAAGAGAGATGAAACTGACCTTGTCGGCGCTCCGGCGCTTGGGCAGCCCCTGCAGCAGCGGGTAGGACGGCCAGTACTGCTATGCAGGCTGCCTGTGTGTATCCAAGGAATTTCATGCGTCAGTGTTCACTGAGAAGAGAGATGTTGAGTAAATGCGCGTAATGCCGACTGATATTATGTACTCACGACAAACATAAACAGTCCTGGAGCCCAGAAAAGAGAGAGGGCTTGAGAAGAACGACCACAGCGAACGAGTGCGCTGGCCAGAGGATGGAGAGTCGTTACCACGGTGGTCAGTGGTAAGGGACGCAATCTCCGCATGTTTTCTCGGGGTAACAGCGCGCTCGGCTGGCCAGATCCTGCCGACCGATCAAACAATCCGCATGCTTTTTTTTCTGCTCGAGTTTGAGCTTTGAAAGCGTTCCAGAGCCGGCCACCACTGCTGGCAGAGTAAAAACAAGGACTTTGACGCGACCCTTGGCCATCGCGTCGCCGGGACTCCACGATCAAGACGCGATCAACACCGTGCCTGCCGCCGTAAAGCCCATTGCTCACTTGAAGCACTTGAAGCTCACTTTGACAATGGTAATTTGGCAACTATGGGCCGTTTGGGTAATCCAATCACATATATCTGGATTAATACTTCGGTTGGACCAAGCATCCCGAGCTCAGTTGAACAATGGTCAACTCAAGGTCAATATGAGCTGTACTATGCCCCCCAACAAAGTCAAACAATGCGACTTCAAAGGCAATCAGGGGGCGCCAAAGACCTTTCAGACTCTTCCTTTCAACGACTCGGATGTCGAAGCTCACGCGAACGAGGATCATATTGGAAGGACGCGCTGGGACATGCAGCACAGTTCGAAGTGCTAGATGGGCCAGAGGTCAATGCCCTGCAGAGTGTGATACAGGCGACTGGTTTCGATCCGGACGTTACTGCCTGGCAGGAGATTGACGCTGCAAACCCCGTCATGGTCTGCAAGGACTGTTTGGCAGGGCACGAGAGGATCCTCGATGTATTTCGATGGTCGTTTTGCCTACAGGTGAGCTGACATTGCACTCCCACGTCAGTGTAACTTGCTGACCACAATCCCAGCGGCGCATGAGAGCAATGAAAGCTTGCTCTCACCACACGGCCCAGAAAAGCCTTACACGCTTTGCAAAGCTCGAAGATCCGGCGTTGTTGACTGGCGCAAAGTCACAACTTGAATTCAGCGAAAAGAAGGATGAATTTTATGGTTGCAAGCAATGTAACCATACACCGCCACGTC